GTAAATTAATTTTGAGCTCCTGCGGAACCTACGGATGAGGTTGTGCTGGGTCTTTATAATCTGTACTTTTCTTTAAATCCTCGCTCTAGTGGCTAAACTGATAAAGGATTCAAATTATGGAATTTGACTTTAGGCTAGATGCATCTATCTACAGTCGTGCCAGATTACACTTCGTATCCTTCGCGATATTCGTGCGAGGATTGAGTCATGGAGAGCTCTGAACGATTGGGTATGTGGCTTTCTTTGGATGATTTTCTCGCGACCTCGTTAATCATGAGATTTTTAGATGAGCGAGCTACTCGTAGAGAAGGTGTTGTCGTCGTGTTTGGCTCCTCTTTCCGTCGGCGATGCTCTGCGACGAGTTTTTGAAGCTGTAGCGAGTGGTGTACTCCTTAAAAGTGAGTTTCTTGTTATGATGAAGTCCAAACTACCAACTTCTCAGAGCAGGTGAAGCAGCGGTGAAGTAGGAATCGCGTTTACGGCCCGCATTTTCCCCTCATCGTTAGCTTGCCGCGTTTGAGAATTGGGAGGGATCAAAATTTGAATAGCTTACTTGGCATTCCTTTATGTCATTCATCTAATAACGGTTTTGTTCAGAATATTGATATGAGTTCTGTTTTTACAGCCGGTCCTGGCATTGCTGATCCTTGTGAAAAGGAAGCAATGGACGTTTTGGCCCCTCTCACCGGACAACAGAGAGAAGCGATTACTGCCAGTGCTCAGCACGCTCTTCGTCTAATAGCCTTTAATCAGCTGTACAAGGTAACGTTTTGTTTTAATCCTTGCATAACGTGCCCTGAGCACTTTTGTTGTTTGGAGCGTGCATAAGTGTCAGTTTTTTCAGGTATTAGGATTGGAGCGCCTACCTGATGTTCGCCCACCGCTCGCTGACAGAAAGCGACCGATGGATACTGCAAATGCTGCTGAGGGTAACCGGCTTTTCACTTCATATTATTAGGGTGTCCACAAAGTTCGTTGGCCATTCGTTTTTTGCAGAGCTTATGAAGATAACTCACCAAGTTGAACTTACCGGTCCATGATATAATCTCCATGCATACCCACCACCTTTCGCCAACGATCGGGT